TTCACCCGAAACGACAACAACATACCCGAGCAACGTACTTAAAACCATTTGCATGCCATAACTGTGTAAAAAATCATATCACAGGAAAGAGAATGGTGGTGGAGGAGGAATCCCTCCCTGCCATCACAAAACAAAAATTCAGGGAACAGAGAGACAGACAGACTTTCAAGCCAAGGCATTAAATAATTGATGTTCGTTGTTGTCGTCGTCGGTTCAGCCAATTTTCAACAAGATCAAAAACCGTCATCACAATTGCCAGGCTAGTTGCCTTTTGGGACCATATGTAGAATTTATGGTTCCCCAACCCCATCTGTCCCTCTCAAATAAACCATGGCATCATGATGCTGACGATCATGCCAACCAACAATAACAAAACACACACACACATATATGCGAATATATAACACACACCATCACAAATTTCTCTGGTAATCAGTGAAAAGTCTAAATTAAAATGGAAAAAAGAGCGAATTAAGCCAAGCAAGCAGTGTAGAGCTGCTGCCAGAGCTACCCTCTTCTTTGTGAAGAGCATCCGTCCATTGCATGTTTTCCTCAATTTACCAAGATCGGCTGGCCGACAGACCGAGAACCCAACACAAAACACCCGACCGGGTAGTAAGCAAATAATGTTAAAAGAAGAACGAATGAACCAACAAAAGCGACAAAAGTACTCAGCCAAAATGAATTCCGCACTCTAACACACACCCAAAGCCATAAATTTATGAACCGTTTAATCAATTGGCGGAAAAACTCAAATGAGTAGGAAAAGATCAAGGAGGCAAGGGAAGAGGGGGTAGGTTGTGGCACAGTGTGTATATTATGAACAATTTTGCTGTAGGACAACAAACATAGCTCCATTATAAGGTCCCCGTCCGATTTTCCCTAAAAATAGGTAACTTTCGATACTGGGTTCGAAGAAGCTATAGTACCTCCCCTTGAAATTGTCTATACCTTATGTCTTTCATTTCCCATTCTAGATTAATAAAATGTAAACTATTTCCCAGCAAAAATTTGTCAGCATAAGTTCTCGTCCTCGCATAGTCTCCACATAAGGTTCCGTCCTTATTTGTGGGTCCAAAGGGCATCTATCTTACCGGAATTGTGGCATTTCTAATTGCCCAGAGAAATTCAAGACTGATATTTTGATGTATTTTTAAAAAAGCAGCATTTTTGAAAACTCTACACAAGTCTCCACTTTTTATTTAGAGTTAAATAATTGTTAAAATGCTCTAAGGCAGTCTTAGAAAACCTTATATAACATTCTGATGCAGAAATAAAAAAACTCTCCACTCACAAAATTTTTCCAATTTACGATATATTGGAGAATTTTTTTAAATATTCCGAAAAAAATTCGATATAAAATTCTGAATTTAAAATTTGCATAAAATCAATAAATTGTTCTAGATTTGAAAAGTCTCAGCATGTTTGAAAACAAAAGTCTCCACTTTTTCATTATAATTGAAAAATTGTTGAATCTTATTAAGACAGTCTTTGGAACCTTAAAACCTTCTGAATATAAAATTTCCATAAAAGCAATAAATTTTTCTAAATTTGAAAAGTCTCCAATATAGGAGACTAATTGTTTTTTGACTAGAATTGTTTCTAAATGACCCAAATTGCTTTAGGAAACATAACAAAATAAAATTTCGCGAAAATATATAACTCTCCACAAATAAAAATTTACCATTAAAGGGTATTATGGAGACTTTTTTCAATACTTCGAACACAAAATACAAAAATATTCTTTAATCTGAACTCTCCAATAGATTTTAACATTTGATTGTATTTTTACATTCCAAATTTAGATAAAATAACTTAATTTTTCGAATTTTAGGAACTCTCCAAAAGTGGAGACTTTTTTATTTCCAGCTAAAAATACTTCTAAATGACCTATAATGCCTTAGGATATATACAATAATAAAATACCGTAAAAATAAATAACTCTCCACTAATAAATATCTACAATTAAAGGAGATTATGGAGACTTTTCAATATTTCGAAAAAAATACAAATTTCCATTTTAATTTGGAATCTTTAATAAATTTTTATCCTTGATTAACTTTAAAATCTATATAAAATCACTAGATTTTTTCCATTTTGAGAACTCTCCAAAAGTGGAGACTTTTTGTTTTTAGCGAAAAATGCTTCTAAATGACCTAGGCAACCTTAGGAAACACAAAATAATGAAATTCGACTAAAATAATTCTCCACTAATAAAAATTTACAATTAAAGTCAAAAGTCTCCACTAATAAACCATATTAAATATTTTTAAATTGTATTTAATAAAATTTGCTCAAAAAACATTCTATATATTTGTTTGGCTTCCCTTGCTTGCCTAATTTTTTAAAATTTGTTTTTATGGACTTTGAACCCACTGTGCCACCTCCTCCAAATCAATAAACCATGGTATATATTATGATTTAAACATATGTATGTCTTTCAGACCGACATTCATTTAAAATTGTTCAATGACAGAGAAAAAAACAACAAACCCAACCAATACTTTTTACCGCAATTTAGAAGCCATGTTTGTTGTCTCAATGAAAAGGAAGAAGAAGAAGAACAGCCAGGCAGGCCAGCCGGGCAACCAGCGACCCCACCACAAAATCGAAAGTATGTGGCAATAAATGTTTCCACACTTGAACGTAGCCAAGCCAAGCCAACAACAATAACCATTTATATCTTACGATTCTCTTTGCGTTGAATTTGGAGCAATTGTGCGCGATCGGCCTAGTGGGCTCAGTCGGTATGTCGTGTTCTATACAATGGTTCAATTACATTCTCTCAAATTGAAAAACAAAACAAAAAACGACAACAGCAAAAATAGTAAAAGCAACAAATACGCCACAAGAAATGGGGGATGAAATTTGTGTGTATGAGTATAAGCGTGTGTGTGTGATTTAATTTTCGTATGTTGTGCGTTCTTGCTTGCTTTTGGTTAAGCGTTGTTTGTAAGGGCTTTATTATGGACGCGTTTATATTATTTGGCTTGATTAAAAAATGGATGGATGATTGGATTCATCTACGTCGTCATCACCCGCCATCAGTTGGCCGACTGAATATGGCCTCGAATGTAGCAGCATACACACATACACCACACTCTCATTATTTTATTATTTAATGCGATCGCAATAATCATCATCAGCCTCCATCATAACGACACGAAAAATTTTTGTGATGACATGGCTTGGAGAGGGGATGCCATCATGCGACGGTTTGACCATGTGTTATAGCTTGCTTCTCAGAAGTTGTGTGGAGGGAGGGGTGGGTGGTGTTGCTTTGTATTTTGTACTCGTCGTCTTTATAAGAAGATTATTATTATCATCATTGTTATGGCCCCGTTGTTGTTGCTGTTGTCGTCGTAGTTGTTGTTAGTAGCGCAGTGAGCCAGCCGCCATTATTCACAAAACAGAGCAAAAATTCACGTCATAACTGGGCGTAAACCTAACATTTTGTCAAATTGGATGCATGCTCAGCTGATTTTCTTTTTTTTTTGGTTCTTGGTATTTGTTAAGTACTTTACCAGGCTGAAGTTTTGCTTCATATTTTTTTGGGAAATTATCAAATTGTTATTGGATTACTTAGATAAACCAATTAATCGAAATTATTGCGGATTTTCGTATATTTTTGAGTTTCTTAGATAAAAGCCAATAAAAAGCTAATTTAGGATCATAATATTATTATAAAGGAATTTTCTAATAGAAATACTTTGAAAAAATCCATAATTTACAAAATTTTGAAATCTCTCCACAATTCTCCACTTGTAAATTTATGACAAAAAATACATTTTCTCATTAATATAGGCATGAAAAATGTGTTGCTTTAATTTTTTGAAGAAATATTATAAATCTCCACTAACAATTAATAGGAACATTTTCAAAATAATTAAAACTTCGTTAAATATTTTTCCAAAAAAATCAATTTAATAGTGAAAATCAAAGTTTTGCAAGTTTTAAAAAAATCAAAATTTGCAATTTTTGAATTCTTCCAAAAGTCTCCACTTTTTTCCTCATTCGAATTTTGATTTTTCGCATGCTTAAACCGCTAATAACCGACCGAAAGTCATTTTAGCACAATAGTATATAGGTACTTGCAGGTTCTAATAGAAAAATTTGATAAAAATCCGCAATTTCGAAAATTCTGAAATCTCTACACAAGTCTCCACTTACAATTTTATAACTTATTATGCCTGAATTTGATAATACAATCTCAAAATTGTTATTATTTTCAATATTTGAATAACATTTGCGAAATCCACTCCAAGTCTCCTTTTTTCAGATCCGATTTTTTTATTTTAGCTTGCTTAAACCGCCAATAACCGGCGCAAGGAAATTTAGTACCTTAACATCAAGGTATTTTCAAGTTATAATAGAAAAATTTAATAAAAATCGATTATTTCGAAAATTATGAAATCTCTACTCAAGTCTCCACTGGCAATTTTATAACTAATTAGGCTATAATTTGATAATCCAGCCTCAAAATAGTTATTATTTTCAATATTTGAATAGTTTCCATTTCGAAATAAAACCATTTTTAACTCAATTTCAAGACCAATAAGCATTTCAATAATAATTTCCAAATTATTGCAATTTCAGCATTTTAAAAATTCTACACAAGTCTCAACTTTCGAAATGGTGATGACAGACACTCCAAATCGTTATAAAATATAGTAACTAATTGCAAACAATTCCATAACATTGTAAAAAATAAGTCTCCACCATCAAAATAAGTCTCCACAAGAATCTGCTCAGTCCTGCCTTTCATTTTTGATAGCTTTCGATGCTGTTAGCCTGGCAATTTTAATTATCTCAACTTTTACCAGTTTGTTGAAGAGAGACAGATAGTTGAGAGGAGACGAATCTGTATCCCTCTCTCACCTCTCTTATCCACAAATTGAGAATTACCACAAGGCAATTTGGCTGAACTCTTTTTCTTACAAAATTCTATTCGTTTCTTTTCTTATAAATAAAAAAATATGAAGAAAAAAATCTCTACTCACTTTCTCTCCCGGATGACATCCCGCAAAAAATCCATTGCCTCGTACAGACTCCATTTGGGTTTAAAGTTATTGCCCATCAACTTGACATGGGCCAATTCGCGACGATAGGATTCTCGCAGAGATTTGAAAGCTCGCGCCACACGCCTGCCGGGCGCATTGAACTCCTTGCCGATCATTTCCCATGCCCGATTCTTTTCCTCTTCGGCCCCCTTGAAATTCGGTAAACGTGAATCCCACAAGATGGGATTGTCATGGACCATCTGTATCAGTTTCAATTTATCGGAGGCATTGCGTCGGACCACTGCAAGTAAATCGAGGGTAAATAAAAATTGTTCTTTGGTTAATACAGAGGGACAAGAAGAAGAGGTAGGAGAGGACAATGATGATGAAGTCGAAGTACTACAAGATGAGGAGATATTGTTGGATTTTCTAGTTCTTGCTGTTGTTGTTGTGGTAGGACAATTGGAAGGTTTCTTTATCTTGTTGTTGCTGTTGTTATTTTTCCTGTTACCACAACAACATTTTTGGAATTTGATCGAACTAGAATTGGGAGTACTACAACATTTACTACATCTAGAGACTGGTGGTGGACAACCCAAGGAGAAGGAACTGGCCTGGGCTAACTCCTGAGCCAATTTCTTCTTCCTATTGAGAAGACTACGAGTTAAGGGACGATTTGGTTTGTAGGTCAACGCACATTTTTTAATTTTCTGTTGATGCTGCTGTTGTTGTTGTGGATGCTGCTGTTCCATCGATGCTGGCGGCTGATGTTTGGGTTTTAAATCCAAAGCCAATGCTATAGCGGCGGCTGAGGCGGCGGCGCTAGCACTCATCTCTTGTGAGGATTTGTGATGATGGCTAATGTCGTCGTTGTTGAAATCACTGGTCGTAGAGGTGGGTGATGCGTTCAGAGATTTCAATAACTTTTTATGGCTCATCAATAAAATCTTTTTTTTTTTTGTAATAAAAATTCACAATTTTTTTTCAAAATTTATTGTAACAAATAAAATTTGTTACTTTGATTGTTTTTTATTTTATTTTGGTTTCGTTTAATAAATCACTTCGCCAGCGTTCATTGATCTTTGGACTGAGTATTTGGTTCAATGTTTTTTGTTTTTTATTTTTGTAATTTCAATTAATTCACTTTTTTCCAAAACCTTGTTTATTTTGTTGAATTATTTTTTGTTTTATTTTTCTCAGAGTGTTATTTTGATTTTCACAATTATCAGTTTTTTAGCCCCGTTCGCTGTGCTCGACTGTGTGGCTGTCTTCACTCGCCTGCTTGTTTTGATCTACTACCCTCTCACGACCAAGTTTAAAACCCAACTAAAAGCCATCACTGCTAAAGACCAACCACCCCAGCCAGAGCCCGCATTTTTCAAATTTGTATTTACAGCAAATCAAAAAAACCACGGCAATACAACTACTGCCTGCCTGGCTGGATGTGTGGAGAAAAGCAACAACAACAAAAACAAAGGGAAACGCCAATCGTCGGCAGAAGCAACAGCGGCAGAAGAGTAGCCTGCCTATAACTATAAAAAATCGTCTTAGACACAGAACACAACATTTATGCCATAATTCGATGATGATGACGACGACGATCAGTTCAGTTTATTTCATACACACAACTGCAACAAAACACAACAAGAACAACAACACAACACCGTCACAGCCACAAACAACGGAATTCTCGGCTCGGCAAAAACCCCCAGCCAAACCTCTCTGCCTGCCGCACTCGGTCGTGTAGATTTACATTAACTTTGTCTAAATAGAAACGGTCGGTTGTACTCTTCGCCTGTTCTTCAAACATTTAACAAATACTCGTGCAGCGACGACCACGACGACGACAGGGACTTTGCCATTCACACCGACTTACATACACACACACGAACAAACAAACACATTCGGCCGAGCGCTCTCTGTGTCACACCACACAACAAATCATCATCTCCTCGAACTCTGAGTCGTCGTGTCGAGCACAAAGAACAGCAACAACAACAACAACGACACTCAGAACAACGAAGTCCACACAACAACGAAAAATCACGCTTAAAATCGCCGTAAATTGAACTGTGAATAAAAACAAAACAATGGACAATGGCGAATAATTGCAGTGTGCGGGCCAATTGCGGGGCCTTTTTGCACTAGGAGAATTTGGGAATATTTAATGTAATACGATTTTTTATCGTCTGTTGCCGTATAGTTTTTACTATTAGTTCGATAGGAGAAGGACGATGACAGCATACGAATATCGATTTACTGTCTCTTTTCATTTCTTTTACAATAATGACTGAAGACTTGTCATCACAAAAATAACCTGATATAGTCATCAAACCAGTGATCGAAGCAGTATAGTCGGACGGGACCATATGACACCCTACATAACTACTAGGAAAATCTAACTTTCTGCGGGCCTATATTCTAAGTCTGGCTATATTTCGCGATATTTGCACTCTCTTGACCGATTATAGGTCTGCAGCTCCACTTTCTAGCCATGGCATATTATCTAAGTCTGTTTTTTCGAGATAAATATTTACGACATAAAATAAAAATTTGGTCACTTTAAGTTTCAGTAGACCCTCGGAATATTGACCGACCATCATCCAAACAGCCGTTGCAAGTATTTGGTCAGATCCCCTTCACCGTGTAAAATATGTGATGTTCTGCATAAAATAATCGCCTCTAGAACGACTAGAAAATCTGACAAAAATAATGTTTTCGGTTCATTGAATCCCCTAAATATCATCTCAACATTATCGAAAATTGTAGGCGACGTCCTTGGCCATAACCGGAACTTCCTGTGAAATTTCAAAGCGACCCACCCTCTGGTAATACTAAAGAATATCATAATACATAAACTCTTTAAAAACATTTACATAGAACTCCCACATCCGAGTACATACAACAATAGAATTGGTATAAATTTAAAATTCAATAACTTCTCTTGGATATACTAACAACTTTTTGGGTCTATGCCAATCAGGACTAAATATACTCGCCATAGAATACACATTTTTAACACACTAAATATTGAGCGATCCGCATCAAAATAGTTCTTTATTATTCTTTGGCCATAACCCTTTCCTGGTGTAAGGATTGCCGACAGATATATACCCTCAGCCTATGGTGTGCAGAGGTCTTCGAAATTGCACACAGGTTTTATTATTCGCTTTATATAAAGGATATGTTTTATTTTTATACTCCCAAATTAATTTTAAAAGTTCATAAAATATTGAACCATAGTGGGGCGGTACCAGAAGCAGAGGGCCGACGGTTCCCACCTTCGGACCTGATCTACGCTAGGTAACGATAGTAGATAGTTTTAAGTTTGCTTCAAATTGGACATTCCATTCGCCTAATATTTAATTTATAAATATATCTCCGTCATTTTTTATAACATTCCTTTAAATATACAACAATTTCAAAATCAATTCCTTTAAGGCCCTTCGAATTCGACCTCCTACACTACGGAAAATCCCCCTGCCATTGTATTTGTTATTACTTTTGCCTGCTACAATTATTGTTGCTGTTTTTGTTTTTCGTTTGGACGATATCAATGTTTGTGTTTTGTTGTTGTTGTCGTCGCCGTCGCTGTTTTCTCCGCAGAAAGAAAGAAACGCAATTTAACGGTTGTTTGCCTAGTTCGGAAACACCAGACTACAGAAGAGCTCTCGCTCTTCTTCGCCAATAAAGGCATGGCTCGACAGACTGGCTAGGCTGACTGGATGGTTGGACGGTTGGCTATCATATTTTACTCTCACTCTCAAAGTGGCTTACATGGAAAACAATCATAGCTACAAACATACATGTGTGTATGTATGTATGTAAGTATGATTGTATGTACTGCATGCAGGCATTGTGTTGTTGTTGATTTATTAAATTCGTTTTCATTTCATTCTTAGTTTTTGGGGAATTTTTGCAGTAACACGAACATTTCGTCGTTTTTCGTCTTCTACGGGGTTTTTACAGTTGGTCTAATTTAAGGCTTTGAAATGGAAAAATATGTGTGTGTGTGTATGTGTTTGCACATTGTGTGTAAAAGAGAAATGTAGGAAATTGTTGCAGCGCTGCTGATGATCAGCATCAACGTCGTCGGGGATTTTTGCCGTGTAGAATTGTTGTCGTTCAAAATTACTTTTCGAGAAATTCCAATTTAACGGGCTCAAATAAAATATGGGCACAGCATTTTTTTCTCGGTCTGAATTGTTAACTTAATGCTGCAGGCAAGTAAGCTATCTAAACGAGGGTTGTTTGGAAAGGGTAGGAAGATATGGAAAAGAAGGATTTATTTCAATAGTTATCCAATATAGGACTTTCATACGGATAAAGGGACATTTCATATAAAAAATAAACAGCGAATCAAAATCAGGATGAAACCACATACAACGGTTTTCTTATTAGAGGTGGTTCAATATTTTATATGAATTATCGGATAATGGTATACCAATAATAATGAAAAACAAGTAAAAACGATGTTAAGGTCGGACCGGCCGAACTTTTTATACATTTCATCATGAGGATGACAATCAAAATATCTACAATTAATGGGGGCTCCGAGGAGAATCTCATGTTATGATAGGAACTTGAACAAAGCGTAAAATATGTTAGAAAAAGATTATTGAAATTCTCAAAATATCTACTAGTGGGACTATAATAAACGGAGATCAATATTGATATTTTTGGTAGTGAGGTTTGACAGCCAAAATTACAGTCAATTCGGTTGAAAAACATGTGTAAAAGCCTAAAAATATCGAATATTGGGGAGTACCGTTATATGGAGGCTATCCTGAAACTTGGCTCAATATTAACAATTTTTTGCACGGAGATGTACTGTACCATGATGACCCAAAATACCAAATTACAGCCAATTCGGAGGGAAAATGTGTGCAAAATTCCCAAAATACCGAATATTGGGGGTATCGTTATATGGGGGCTACCCTGAAACTTGGGTCAATATAATTAATTCAAAATACCAAATTACAGCCAATTCTGTTGGAAAACGTGTCCAAAAATTCCCAAAATACGGAATATTTGGGGTACCAAACATCCTAGGTGTACTAGCAATGTATGTCCAAAATTTCAGAGCTCTATCTTAAACATTTCAATCTCTATCGTGATTACGACAGACAGATATGCGTAAATCGACATAGAATTTTATTCTGATGAACAATATATCTACTTTGTGGGGTCTCCGTTGAATATTTCGAAGTTTTGCAAACGGAATGACAAGTTTAATATGAACTCCACCTTATGGTGATGAGTATAAAAAAGTCAAGTTCAGTTCAGCGAGGCCTTTTTATACCCTCCACCTCGTGTTGGGCATTGAGAATTTCGTAAATCGATCGGGACTATGTAATTGCATTATGTGGTATATTGGCTAATTTTTAGAAAGAGGCCTTTATTCGCCAATAACCCGATATGCGAAATTTTAGCCAATTCGAAAAGCATTCGGTTGAAAAACGTACTGTAGTGTTCTTTAGATATATAATAGTTAGATCTCTTTAATTCGGATCTGAAGGTGATCCCATTTTGGATTCTACGGTTCCAAAATTCCCCCACTCATTTACACAACCCTCGATGACCACCGCATATTAAATTGTGCTTTATCACCCTCATCATTTTAATACGAATTAGCTTAAAACGCTACCGGACAACAACAACAGCATCGCATGAATATCAACCTCACATAAAAGCCGTAAAAAACTCATTTAATTTAATTTAGTTAGTAAAAATCATTTATTAACCATTTAAAATAAATTCAATTTACAGCATTTTTATCGTTCCAACGAATGAATGAGTCGTGTTATCAACAAGGGAAATTCTGGCAGTCTCACTTATTCCCTCGCACTCTTCTTCCATTCACTCTCACTTTCCATTAAAACCGAAATTAACATTTTGTAGAGAGAGTGCAAATGCCTTAAGCCACTGAGAATGGTCTTGAACAG